CTCATAAGGGAGAGCTGAGGGCTGATGAGGGACAGGTGAAGCTCATAAGGGAGAGCTGAGGGCTGATGAGGGACAGGTGAAGCTCATAAGGGAGAGCTGAGGGCTGATGAGGGGTAGGTGGGACAGGTTCTGTGGGACAGAGCCTGGCAGAAAATGGCTGTGCTGGGATAAGGTGCAAGGCTGGTGAGCTGTGGGACCCGGGAGGCAGGAAAAGGTCAGGTAGGTGAAAGGCTTTTTTTAGTGTTGTTTTTCCTGGCAATGCTGTGTTATATTGTCCATGTGCAAAGGGGTTCTGCTCTGGGTGGGAGGGAGTCTCCCCTGCCCCAGTTACCCTGCTGGGAGCCAGGGCTGGGCTGAGAGGAGAGGGCTGGAGCTGCTGCCTCGGGTGAGAGGAGCAGGCTGACCTCTGAGGAGGAGGCTGGGATGTGTTGTGTCTGCCTTTCTTGGATTCTACTCCAGTCAGTTTGTTTGAAGCCTGAGCTTTGTGGGTTATTTGGTGCCTCCTTTGAGTGAACCCCCATTTCTGAGGTGTTTGGTGTGTTGAGCACCCAGCAGGTCTGGTTGGAAGGTTTAAAATGCCCTTGAGCATTACAGTGCAGCTGGCAGAGGCTGGATGGTCCCGTTTGGTGGAGTTGGTCTCTCTTGGGCCGTGGGTGCTGCAGTTGTTCTCCCTTGGGCTGTGGGTGTTGGCTGCTCGTGTTCCCGGTTCCAGGGGCTCTCTCAGTGGAGGGGCCTTGCTCTGTTGGTGCTTTGGATAACCCAGGGCAGTCCTGGGGTACAGCCATGGGCCAGTGAACATCAAACTGCTCCGGGTCACAGCTGGGGCAGAACCTTCGTGCTTGGGGATGGGAGTTTGTGTATTTTGAATTTTTAAATCCAACACCTCTGCCCTTCAATTTTAATTGAGAACTAAATTATTCTTTATGAAAGACAACAAAGTTTAATTTATCTTAAGCTTTTTATTGGTTGCATATGAGAGATGTAGATAAGATGGATGACATGTAAAGTAGTGCTTTTATGATGCCTCAGGCCATTCCTGGCAGGACAGCACAATGCCATCGTTATTCCCACGCAAAGCCTTTGGAAGCAGCAGAACATTCCCGGGATTAATTAACACTCAGCAATGGCACTTCCAGTGCAGAGCAGGGTCTGACTGGCAGAGCTTTGCCCCACTCTGCAGGTGGGAAGGTGGGAACAGAACCTTGTGCAAAGGAGGGGGAAGGTGCTGGGGGTCCCAGAATGGCCTCCAGTGCGTGTGGGGCAGCTGCTCAAATAGTTCAGTGCTTCAGGAAAACTAAATGGCAGCTTCGTTAACCATTTAATAATGTGGCTCATCATATCTGGGAGGGAAAACTTTGATAATTGCAAATGGACTCAACATCTCTTAAAGTGGCCTCAGTGTCTCCTGGTGTCTCTTGGGCTCTCTGGGGTGGCAAAGGGAACGGGAAATGCCGGGAATCCCCTTCTGCTGCAGGGCAGGAGCAGAGGGTGAAGGAGCTCGGTGTCGGGGGGTTACTGTGAGAATCTGCTCCTCTTCTACTTCAGCTGCAAGGAGATGGGCAGGGAAAGGTCAAACCACGACTCAGTAACGCTCACTTTATCCAGAGCAAAGATTTATTCACTGAAAAGATTCCTACATATCCAGAATTCCAGTAGCATAGAGTGCACTCTTAGGGTTTTTTTCTTTTTTTTTTTTTTGCTGGTTGCATAAACTAATACAGAAACTGTTGTTAATCCTAACAATTTGTAGTTAATTTAATAGCAATTCTGGAAGACACTCAGTTCATAGAAAATATAAAAAAAAATCTGTACTGTACAAAGTTTACATCACATTTGAAAAGAAAACGTGTCCATGTTCACCATGTTACAGACCATTTACATTCACTACTGACGTGTGGCTCCTGTAGCAGCATTGTCACAGCTCCAGCAGGAGGGGACAGGACGTGTGACATGAACACAACCCAGGGACTGGCTTGGTTTGCTGAGGGACAGCAGAGCCCCGACCCCCCAGGCCCTGTGGTGGCTCAGCCCAGTACCACTGATTGACACAAAAATAACCCCAGAGACAGGAACTGCTCTGTCCTCTGGGCTGCACTGGGACCAGAGGCTGGGCTTGGTGTTAAAGGGCAATTTATGGGAGTTCCCAGGTCAGGTCAGATTAGAATGCCAAATTCTGTTAGAGGCAGGTTTTGAACAACCCCCCGTGCCCAGGACTGCAGCAGGGCATGTTCCCAGCTCGGTGGGACATGTCCCAGTGTCCAGCACACTGACCTGGGGCACAGAGGGGCAGGAAGGGTCCTCACAGCCAGGGTTTGAACTGCACATGAGGGCAGTTGCAGGAAGGACAAATGGTGACAGTCTGTTGGGTTTTTTAATTCTTTGTTTCAATCTGGCTGCACACCCAGTGCTGGATGTGCTTCCCCAGCCCGGCCTCTCAGACAGAACCTGAGCACACGCTGAGTTCCCAGCTGGAACATCCCGGGTGTCCCAGCTCTCGGGGACACAGACTGAGCCCAGGGGCTGCAAAGGGACAGGCTGTAGGAAGCCCATGGGGGGTTCCAGCCGAGAGGCAGCACTCCCTGCTTTGGGTTTGTGCTGTGCTGCTGTAATTTAAGCAGCACTTGTGGGAAAACAACTTCTGCTTAAAGCTGCTGACACGATTACTGAGAGAAAACAAACAGTAGCGAGTCCTGCAGAGCCCGAGGGTGCAGGTGAACCTGCTGTGCCAGGAGGGGCTTGATTTGCCTTTACCAGGGGAGAGGAAGGGGAGCAGAGAGGACTGCAAGGCCACACCTGGCCATGCCAAACCCATTTCTCTTTTATGTCCAAGACACATTTCAAAAGTCTCTGTCAAAACACTTGGAAGAGGCTACAGCTGACACACAGGAGTGAAGGTCTCTGCTCAACAGAACTCAGGTTTTGTGCCACTTAGTTCCCCACACAAGGCAGCCGAACAGAGGGCTGGCACTTTGGTTGCCCACAGGATTTTAGAGCCTCCCTCCTCAAGCTTCAGGTGAAATCCTTGTGATGGTGGGGAAGGGGACCTGGGGGGTGTAATGAGCTGCTGCAGTTGGAGAAATGAAACCTGGTGAGTCCCAGGGAGCCCTAAGGACCTGTCTCAGCAAAGCCAGGGCTGCACAGACAAGAACAGACAAGGGTTGTGGGGTACTGGGGGTCCTCCCACAGAAGCTGAGGAACATGGATGGGAAGCACGAGGGAGCCTCTGGTAAGAGAGACTGCAGTTAATTGGCAAGAGGATGATGAATCACCTCAATGTGGTCACTGGCTGCTGGCTCCATAACCCCCACACTGTGCACTGAAGGGGGGAGGTGATTTTTTGGTCTTAAAACAAACCTTTGAAACAAGTCTGAGCTGTAGGACTGAGGTGGGGCCTCCAGACCCTTCCTGGTTGCAAGATTTCTGTTGTTCTTAAGTTTTTTACCCAAAACAACTGCTGGAGTCCTGTATTTTTCACAAAGAGCTTGCAGGTTTAAATGGGACTGATGGTAGGTGGTGGCAACACTGTGTATGTGCAATGACTCTGAAGCTCTTAACAAGCTCGGTGCATCAAGGCCTGACTTAATGCATTTTTAGGGCCAGCTTTTCCCTTTTCCTGTCTCTCTTGCCAGGTACACTCTGGTCCCTGAGCAAAGACAATCCCATGATGAGTTTGCCTTTCCCCATGGGAGGAGAAACCCACACTGACTTCCCCAGCCACTTCCCCATGTGTAGGATGGGGACCTTCTCTCCTCCCACAGTGTGTAGAGGTTTCGTTTGGGCAGGACCAGGGTGGTTGGCAGATCCCCTGGTGTTGACCAGCCAAGTGGCTTCAGCTAAATTTGCCTCCCAATGCTTCCATGTCCCATGACCTAGTGCTCTTAACATAGTCTTCAACAGCCCATTCTACCTCTCCATCTTCCCAGAGGCTTGTGGGTGATCAGGGATGTGACAGATCCACTTGATGCCCTGTTTCTTTGTCCAAGAGCTTATAAGATGATTCTGACAGTGAGTCCTATTATCTGATTCAATTCTCTTTGGGGTCCCATGTCACCCTGCAGCTCTGGAAAATGTCTTTTCTTCTACAGCTGCAACAGTGATGGGGCTGGAAGGACAGTGTTATGTTTCCAGAAATGCCACAACTTTAGGGGACTGGAACTTGTGCCTAAATTTCAAAAGAAGAATTTGCCCCCTGTGCAGAGCTGTGATGTGTCATGGGTTTATTTTTAAAGGCCAGCAAGTCTCAATTCCTCTGGGATTGTATGAGAAGGAGCAGGTTTTAGTGTGAGTTCTGTGGAGAAGAGCACTTGTCACTAACTGAGCCAGCCCCCCCAGCAGGCACTCCTGCAGCAGGACATCTGTGCTGAGTTCAGGGTGACCCAGAGCTGGACCAGCCCTGCTCAAACAGACCTCGGGGCTCAGTGCCTGCTTTGGGCAGGTCCCAGTGCAGCAGGCCGGGCTTTACCTCCATGAAGGAAACCCCCCTCTGGGAGGCAGTGCCTCGTAGGAGCCACGTCGCTGTTCTGCAGCAACTGTCCCACAGCTCAGGGAACCCACAGCTCCCAAGGCAGAGCCTGGCTCCTACTGACCACAGACACAAGGAGGAACCAGAAACTCTTCTTCTATCTCAGTGCTATTTGAGAATGGCTGTAGTTAAACTTGATTCACTGTTTATTATGTTTAAAAAAATATAGTTCACACAAAAGTATCATGTAAACATTGTTTAAATAACTGCTGGTGCTCAGGCAGGACACGGGGCTGAGCTGATGGTCTTCAGAGGGGCTGCACCAGCCTCGGCACGGAGGAGCCACTGAGGGTTTCTGGTGCCGTGTGGGAGCAGAAACAGGTCACAAGGACACCGGGCTACAGCTTTGGGTTACTCGGCTCCAGGATCCCCAAGCCAAATCTTTCAAAACGCAGGACAACTTTGCTACTGTTAATGCTGCAGAGAGTGGGGAGGGAGAG